ATAGCCGAGTCGATTGAGCCATGTCTGTCTGTCCGTCTGTCCGTCTGTCCGTCTGTCCGTCCGTCCGTCTGTCCGTCTGTCCGTCTGTCCGTCTGTCCGTCTGTCCGTCCCCTTCAGCGCCTAATGCTCAAAGACTATAAGAGCTAGAGCAACGATGTTTTGGATCCAGACTTCTGTGATATGTCACTGCTCCAAAAATATTTCAAAACTTTGCCCCGCCCACTTCCGCCCCCACAAAGGGCGAAAATCTGTGGCATCCACAATTTCGACGATACGAGAAAACTAAAAACGCAGAATCGTAGAAGTTTACTATATCTTCTAGAGTGCAAAATCTGAACCAGATCGTATAATTATTACAGCCAGAATCACGAAAACAATATCACTCTTTCTCGCTCTGTCTCACTCTAACACACAGGTTTCATGGTCGGTTTTGCCAATTGCAAAATATGAGTTCAAGGATCTGAGAACCCATAAGAGCTAGAGCAACCAAATTTGGTATCCACACTCCTGTGATATCGGACCTTGACCGTTTCCTGTCCAAATTTCGCCACACCCCCTTCCGCCCCCGCAAAGGACGAAAATCTGAGGCAACCACAAATCTCAGAGACTATTAAGGCTAGAGTAACCAAATTTGGTACACACACTCCTTTAAGATGTCACTATAAAACGTATATCTCAAAATTTTGTCCCACCCCCTTCCGCCCCCACAAAGGACGAAAATCTGTTGCATCCACAATATTGCAAATTTGAGAAAACTAAAAACGCAGAATCATAGATAATGACCATATCTATCAGATTGGTGAATCTGGATCAGATCAGATCATTTTTATAGCCAAAAGGAACAAATCAATTTGCAGTGGCTACGCAGCGCGTAGCTCAGACTGATTTTCTGTCTCTCTCGCACGCACTCTTTGTCGTGTCGTTTAATATTAGCGGCGTCTGCCAGAGGAGAGCCATACTGACTTAGTATCGGGTATAACCGTAGAGTTGCGGTGTCCGCAGCAACTCACAACGTTCCCCCTCGTTTTTTTTTGGTTTTCGGTTCTTTTTTTTGTTGTTGTTGCTGTTAAAAGTCCACACAAGCTCATAAATTTAAAAAATGTAATATCCCTCTTACGGAAATGACAATTTATTGGTGGTTTTTACTATTCGCAATTTATTTTAACTCCGCAAGGAAATGCATTGCGGATGTAACACCCGTCTCTCTCTCTCTCGCTCTTTCTCTCTCTGGGTGACCCTGCCCCCATCTGTAGTAAAAGTTGCCAGCAAACAGAGAAAGCGACAGACGAGCAGACAAACAAACAAACAAACAGTCGCTTGTCCATTGAACAAAAAACACAACAACAAAAATGGAGGAGGATAAGAGTATGGCGGGGCAGCTGTTGGGCAAAGGGAAATGGAAAATAAAATAAATATAAATATCGGCTGCAAAGTGGCCTGTAACTGTAACCGTTACGGGAGTAGCGCGGCTAAGAGAGCTCTCGGCCAGCTTTTTATTTGGGCTGGAACCTTGTGATATCCTAGAGAATAAAACGGGACAAAGAATAGAAGAGGGGGGATATAGTAAGAATATTTCTACAAAAATAAAGTAAAATTAAATAAAAAAAAAATATTGTATTTTATTTATTTCTATCTGCTAGAAGTTTAGATATGCCCCTATGCGATGCTGGATTTGTGGCCTACAAATGATGAACACTTTTTCAAAGACCTTTCTGTAGTGTTTGACATGCTGGCAAATCCTTTCAAGGCTGTCGAGTTTGAATAATCCACAGAGATATCAAGGAGAGTTAAACTTTCAGTTCCTCAACGCTGATGATAGAACAAAGAGCTATGTATGCATGTATCTACACCTCCGGAAATAGTAGTTCTTTCCAATCCAAACGAAAGACTCTCTTATCCCCTTTGATACCTCGCAAAATCAAGCTCAGCTGCACTCGCCGAAGCCGTCCGACTGGTGGGGCAGGTTCTGCCGTGGCCAGCGACTGAGATTGAAAATCCGTTAAGTCATCGCCAGTGCTAACCGCTGTGGCCAGGGCAGCATATCCTTTTCCCACCCATTCCCCCCCCCCCCCCCCCCCCCCCCCCCCCTCCGCGCACTGCACTGTTTTTTTTTTGCGTGTCTTCTTTCTGAGCGGCTGTCAATGTGCTTGTTATACCCTAGCAGCGGGTATTATGGCTTTGCAACACAGAGAGAATTGGTCTCCTACCATACACAGAAATAACTCTTCAGTTCCCTGAAGAAATGTCTTAAGAAATTTTCCAGCTCGTTTTTTAAACAAAAAATAATTTTATCAAGAAATCAATTTTCTATAAGTTTTGCTAATTTTTGCAAGGTGTGTTGAATGCACCCGATATGGTATCTTGGCTTCGGCCCCAGACGCTCCTCTGTGTACTTTATTGTTTGTTTTGTTGCTTTGGCTGATGCTCAGTCGTCTCTCCGCTGCTGCTGCTGCTGCTGCTGCCAAATCCTATGACAAATAAGCGCTTCGCCTGCAATTTGTACTTTCAGTTGAGACTGACTTTGCTTTTCATTTAACCAAAGCCGGAGACGAGCGCTTCGGGAATTGAATTGCGCGATGCGATTTCGATTCTCTCTCTCCCTCTCTCCCCTCTCTCTCTGCATCTGTCTGCTTCTCTGTCTTTAGTCCCCGTCTCCCCATCAAACAAGCAACGACAGGCAAATATTAAATTTCTACCTTCAGTGGCACAAAGTTTTCAAGTTGATTGAGTAGCCTTCTTTGGAGATCGTTGAAATGGTTCATCAATTAATAAGAGTATATTTTGAGTGTTTTTTCGGGTATAAATATGGTTTGAGGTGTCAAAAGTGTTATGTATTTAAATAATAGATACAGATACGGTTAGCTTTTGACTGTGCAAACAATTTGTACAACGATGGTCATACTTCTCCGATTTGGAGTCTATTTTTTCCGCCTAGGGATAACCTACCTTTTGGATGAAATTTTTACTGGTAAACAGAATTGGAATCTTACAACATAGTGGACATTAATACATGATTTTTATAGACAAAAAGTTCACTTCATTTTAAACAAATCCCTAAATTATATAATTGTACTTTTGTCCAGGAACAGGAACGGACAAAGGCGATCCCATAAACAATACAGTCCAATACAGTACAGAAAAAGGATGCATAGAGCGGTTCGATCCAATCAAGAATATGAATATTTCAAAAATATCCCTTAAAAATGTATTAAAAATATGTGAAATTATGCTGCCTTTAATAAAGAGTGCCTGTAGAGCTGAAGGAGGTGTACTCTTAATATTCATATTCATATTCATATTCATTCAATATATTGAAAATTTCTTCTTGTTTATGCCCTAGAACACTGAGAGAATAATCTGCGCCGAACCGAACCGATTCAGTGGAATACGGTATTCGATTCATTCGTTCTGCGTCTCATCTTTCTTACTCCATAAATGTTTCCATTTGTAGTCATTTTTACTGTATTGGATCGCAAAATTTCGGTTTTTTTTCTCGCTCACTCTACGTTTGAAAGAGAGAACGAGAGTGAAACACTTATTACGTACTTTTTGCTACTTCTTCTGCCTGAAAAATCCGTATTTGTGTTTATGCGTAGAAAACAGGCACGAAGCCAAAAAAAAAATTAATTTATGTAAATGTATGTATGTAAAAATGTAAAAATGTATTTCACATATAGCAATAGAATATTTTGTGCAAAATATTAGACAAATATTTTTGAAAAATTTGTTCAGTGTAAAAATGAAACCCAATTCAAAATTGTATTACTAAACGTTTGATTAGTGGTTCTATGCATTCCATATAAGGATTCGTTCCATTGCCGTAACCGTAGAAGCTAAGATTAGCTTTTATTATAAGAACATTGTACAGGTACATATCTATTGATATCTATTAAAATATAGATAGATGAATATTGTAGGTATAGAGATTGCTAGATCTAAAGCTTTTGTCGACTTCCATTGCGATTTAGCTGGAAGTGGAACTCCTGAAGTTCTCAGTACACCCTCTCATTTTGCGACAATTTTTCAATACGACTCGCACAATTTTGCATTTTAATCACTCACTCAAAGAATGCTCAAAATGATGTAATCTTTTGGGTCCCGGGTCCCGGGTTCCGGTGCTCCTTGCATTTACCGTATTGGGTATTGCTCTTTATCAATGTATGCATATGTAAACGTATGCATGTGTGTGTGCCTGTGTGGGCATGAGTGCTTGCATATGTGTGTGTGCAGATGCTGATGCAAATATGCTGCGGCTGTGCATATGTATGAGTGCAATTCCCATGCATGTTCAACATGATTAATTTCTGTAATAACTCGATTGGAATCACGCGCCAGCAGCAACTTTTCTTCCATCAGGCATTCCACACAACCACACACACATACACACATACACACACACACAATCAGACACACATGGCATGCATTGGCAGTATCGGTGTGGGTATGCGTTGGGTTTGGGCATGGCTCTCTGTATGGGTCCCTGGTGGACATGCACGTTCCGTTATTCGCCGCATACGTGAGGGAGAGCGATGTGATCCAAGCAATGACAGAGGGCGAAGCGGCGGGAGATACAAGCGGCGCATAGAAGCAGAGGAAGCGGAAATAAGCGCGAAAGAGCAGTGGAATCAGCAGAAAAGCATAGGAAAGGTATATTACTATGGGGTGAGGCAGCGACTACAGAGGCCACAACTTCCCCTTCGAGTGCTCTGTGGCAGGCGGTAGGGACAGCGACTAGGCGAATCAACGGAGCATGATTTGAAGGCCGATAAAGATAGCTGGAAGGAAGGTGCAAGAGCACAGCAGGAGTGGTAGAAGAAGAGTGCCGGGCAGAGTGCAAATGTTGCAGGATTTAGCTGGGCCATCGATTTGGATAAATAAATAAATCGATTATCGAATGAAAAGCATATTTTGATTAAGGTAAATCCAGCAAAATAATTATGCATTCTAGAAGCATACATCAAATGACATGAATGGATCTCTCGGGGGAGGCCTGTACGTACCCATGTAGATAGTTATATTTTCAGCACTGATCTAATGATGATTGCTCTGCTCCACCGTCTGCTGGTTGGTATCCACGCTGCTGTCATTACCATCTATCCTCCATGTCCTGGAAGTACAGCAACACAAAAAAAGAAATAAATGACGAGCACACACTCAGGAAGTGGCGGGTCATACACATTAGAGATCTGCATGACTCCATTGAAAACAGATGCATTCTAGCATTCGAATTGAAATGAGTTGAATGAGTGCCACAATGAATTTAGTTTATTTGAATGTCAGTGCGAGTGTGTGTTGGCTTCACAGTTTTCAGCATTCAGCGAAGGAATAGCCCCGGCATGGCTAACTGTCTCGTTCATTCTCAGCTGATCGGCACTGCTTTCTCTCTCTCTCTCTCTGTTGTTCCAGCTGTTGCTTCCAGCGTGCTGAAGGCAAGATCCTTGTCTTCTGACGTTGCTGGAGGCGTAACCATTCCGTAAGATATTCTATTTTATCTTTTACGTAGAGAACATGCATCTGGAACGCGTTGCTGGCCGTCTTACTTTGAAATCTTGGATTTGGCATATTCCATAGTATATCCTATGACTCATAGTATATCCGATTTTTAGTTCCCAAGAGACAAAAGCTCAACAGATGGGACCGGTGGAGTCTCAGAAAAGCGAGGAAGTGTTCTTTACTCCTCCCATAGATAGGAACAGTGCCTCAACGGACCGGTAGATAGGACAATCGATAAAAAAAACTATCGAATGTGTAAACATTCAGAGATATATTTTTTTTATATAATTTGTTTCTTTAGGTACAGTAGCTTTAGTTGTTTCCACTTCGCTGCCGCTTTATTTCGTTCCAGAGGCATTCAAACAGCTCCACAGACAAAAAAAACTCTGAAGGTCACGAGAAAAAACGCGTACGATGATTTTTTGGTAAACAAAATAATATATATATGGATATATGCTTGAAAGAAAGAAAAAAATGTGTAAATTGGAGACCAGCACGGGGACTGCATAGTCTGGTTAATATTTATATGTTGTATACGACAGAGGGAGATATATTTATATTAAATGTGCATCTAAAACTTGGAAGGAGTGAAAGGAGTGGTGTGGCAAAAGGATAGCACGAGATGGCATTCGCCTGCCACCCCTCCCGCCCATTCTGGCCACAACCATCATGCAGTTCAATAAGTTTTAATGCACTTAATTAATTCCCACTGCGTCTGGTTAGAGAGAGAGAGAGAGAGAGAGAGAGAGAGGGCAAGGGTAACAGAGTCAGAGAGCGATGCCATTTGCTATTTCAAATTGGATTTGAACAAGAAAAAAGGACTCGCTGCAGAAGCCGAACCCTCTTATACTCTGGCTGTATATATATTGCATTATTCCGTCTTTTAGAAATGTACGTATATCCTTAATGGCTTTGAAAGTCTTCATACCCTCTTCAAGGGTATACATATATTTCTTTTTCCTTTTATTGAAGTTTGTCAACAACATTAGCATTGCCAGCGCTGCCCCCGCTCGTCACCCCATCGACCGACCTACTCTGTCTGTTTACCTAATTTAAGTTATTCTAATTCAATTAGTTCATCTTCTAATTAATCGTCATGGCTGCTGCCGCCGCTCTCAACGACTGTCTGCATCTTCCCCCCCAACCCTCCCCAGTCCGTTCCGTGCTCAAGTCAAATGGAAAATGCAATTTAGTTGAGTAAATATCGAATTTCCTGATGGATAGATAGATAGATAGATTGCTTATGTAGATCCCCGAGGATTTGCGGATTGAACGAGTGCATGTTTGCTCCTCGCATAATGCATGGAGAAAAATAACTAAATTTTCCCACTTTTTTTTTTGTAATTACATTTGGCATTGGATGTGGAGAAACTTTCAAGGAGAATTCTAAAAGTTAATTCAGAATCCAAGGGGAATTCAAACAAATATAAGTTTATTTCACATTAATATTCAAGTACAGTAGGCACGAGAGTTTCCAGAGCTCTTCGGCTCTCTTCGGGTCGAGCCGCGTCTTGAGACCTCGCAGCAGCGCATTTAAATATATGATGAATACCCTTATGGATCATTATTCAAAGTGGAAGTTTATTATGATTGTATTTACTATTATTAAGAGTTTCTTTTCTCTCATCAGAAAGAAAACCAATCATTGTCTGGAGAATCTAGCTGCCACATAAGAGCCCTCCTTTAGCTCATGATCTTTCCCAAGTTTCCCCATCTTACAGGTCCCTCTGTGAACACTCCTCGACAGTCCCCTCCCTCGTGCAACCTGCTGCCTGCTGCAACATGTGTTAAGCTTTAAGCGATGTCACAATCCCAGATATAGCAAAGGACACAAACGGAGATGGAAGCGGCAGAATGGACTGTAATTTGCATTGATTTATGGCCGGTAGGAGGAGCCGCCAGCGAAGAGAAACTTGCAACAGCCACAGCCACGGCCACGGCAACTGCAACTGCAACTGAAACTGTGCAACAATGCAGCGATGTCAAGGTGGGTCTGGGTCTGCATTCCGATCCATTCCGGGCCGGACCTTACCTGACCGGGCCCCGGACCCCGGACCCCGGACCCGGACTCGGAACGTGTCGTGTCACGTACATTCAATTAAACGCCCTTGAGTGCCGCCACAGCAACGCCTGCTACGCCTCTATCCGACCTGCTCTTGCTCCTGGTGCATCCATTCTCTGTGCCTCTTGTCTCTGTCTCCTTTGGTTCAGTTTATTGGCATGCCAGTGCCAGTGCCAGTGCCAGTGCCAGTGCCAGGGACAAGGAGGATGAGGATGAGGGCAACGATGGCCAGACCCCGGGAGCAATGAGCTAAAGATAAATAACAAGCCATATAACGCATACGCACTGTGTGTCGCCCGGGACAAGATACGACAGGAGAAGGAGGATAGAGCAAAACAGCATGCAGCACGCAGCATGCAGCATGCAACAGCAGAGGCAGAGGTAGAGGCAGAGCCGCAGCAGCAGTTTGTCTTTGCCGTGTGCCAAAAGGAAGCGCATTTGGGCGTGCCCCCGAATCCGAACACCACTCTCCACCGACAGTGAGAGCTCTCTTGAGCGGACACTCGTTACCGGTAGGTACCCCTGGGTATAAGAGGGGTCTCAAGAATCACTTATCAATATCCCTGAATGGAGATAATCGTCCGGGGCTCTGTTCGCCAACCAACGTCCTGTTTGTGGCACTATTTTACAGCCAATACAGGTGCTAAGGATAGCCAAGACTTTCCATCAAAGAGAGCATTTACTGTACGCTAGTCTCATGCTCATTTTGTTCGCCATCGTTTGGGCAAAGCCGGACAACAGTAAACAAGCACGGAACGCTGCTAGCTAAAGCCGGACCCGAAGTGAGCGATAGAGCGACCTGATCCCGCAGGACGGGGGTGGCACGAGCCACCCCCACACCCCCCCTCATTGTATTGCATGCTTTCGGGCGTTGATTTCCACAGCTGCCAAACGCTTGTCTTTTGATCTCCAACGAAACCGGAACTCCGAACTCCCCATCCCAGAATCCAGCACTCCCTCAACCATGCCCCACCTGACACTCCTCTCGATAGCTCTCTACAAACGCAATTTCAATTAAATTTTAAATATTTATGCAAGAGTAACAGCAACGGCAACGGCAACGACAGACACAGACCCCAAGCGAGGGACACGTAGAGGGCGGGCGAGGGGGACAAAAGTCCGGCCAGACCAAAACAATTACAACATGGCTTAATCCTTTTTTACTGTTGTTTCCGTTTTTCGCCCATTTCAATTGCATTTTCCGCTTTTCCACACCCATACATATGCATGCGCCGGCATGGTTTAGTGGCTGTGCTGGGCGTTTTCACTTGATCAACATTTCTTCTGTGGAGTTTTCATTTTATGGCCTTGCATAAATTTGCCTTTCGGATGGCCAAGCGAAGATCTATATTCGAATTTTTGTAGGCCCTTTGGTAAGACCCTTAAAGACGGGACCACAAGATTCACTTTAAAGGTAATAAGTTCATCTTTTAGTTTTAATGAAAGGTTAAGGATTATAAGGATGAGTAAACTTTGAGCTCTCCAGCAGCAATGACAAAATTGAAACTTTCACTTTTACAATAATAATCTGCTCTGGGTTACAGAAGTCAGCGGGAGGGCGAACTTTGAAAGGATGCATTTGAGAAGGTTCGTTTAGGGAAACCATGATGTTAGGGAGGAATATAGGTATGTATACCCTGGGAGGCCGAAGATGCAGGAGCTCATTAGTTGTATGTCATGCCAGAAGCTACGTCAAACATAATTGGCAGAGAAGCTGACAACTTTTAAATGTACTTTTCCTGTGACAAAAATTAGGTCGTAGGCCCCGATGTGTAGATCACATCCTGCCTACTTAGAATTTGGAATATTCCCACAATATTTTTTTCAAGAACACAAATTTCCGTCTTAATCTTAGGTTGCCTCTGAGGAAGAAACATTAGTACTTGATCCTAGGCTTAAGAGCTCGTCCTTCTCTGTTCTTCAACAGGGTCTCCCAAGCGGTTTGCCATTGAAAAATACCTTTAAATATTTTCCACGTCCTTGCCCCTGACTTCCACTTGTATCTTGAGGTTCTTCTCGTTGGCCAACGACCCGCGAATTACCTAAAAGCAGGAGTTTTTCTACAGAGGACAGGTTCTCCAATGGCGAACCTACAAGGGTTCTGCTGGCCCATAATATCTTCCGCGGTATGCTCCAGGTAGTAGCGAGCTATCTGCGAATGGGTACTGGCTAGGCATTTGATGACAATGGCCCATGGCATAACCTGGTAGAGGTGTGCCCCGCCACCATGAGACCAGCCCCAAAGGGACGACGATAGTAGCGGTTGATAGCGACTCTCCGATTTATGCATAGCGATAGCCAGAAATAGTTCCGTTTTCGTCAAACATCAGACAAGACAAGTCGATCACATTAGCAAGGGAAGGTCTGCCGAAAGTATTATTCTCCACGGTCCGTGGGGCGGGAGGAGGGCTGCGTTTTGCCACTTGATGGTGCAGTAATTGCATCGTCACTTGTACTATGTAGTCATAGCATATCAACGTTCCTCTAAGCTAAAATATCCAATGTTTAAGTATAAAAAAGATGAAAACAGCCACAATAGAAGATCCAACTGGTTTACTTTTGCTCTTTGCTCTTTGCTGGATGATAACAAGAATTTTAATAATTAACAATTACGTGTTCAAGTGCCTGGTGCTTTGTCAACGGGTGAATGCGCAAGTCAGTGGGAGAGATATAGCTAGCGATTATTTGATCTTCTCCTTCCGGCCCGCGTTCATCTCGAATCGGGAGACGTACTTCTTCTTTTTGTCTGCCTTGTGCATTCGGATCTCAATCTCTTGCTGGTTCTCCTTCCACTTCCGATTCACAAGTTCCACTCGTGCAGGATCAAGCGGCTTCCTGTTGATCTTTTTCGAGTCCATTGGCATATAAACGACCTGTTCCTTCACTTTGGGGTTTGTCCGGCTCTCCTTGTAAATCTGTCGCAAATGGTCACGGCGGCTCAGCCTCAGTTTCTTCGGCTCATCCTTAAGGACCACGAGGGCTGAGGCCTCCTTGTTTGTGTCGGTCTTCTCCTTTTGCGGCCACACGACAAGAGACTTGGGATCCTTTTGGTTCCAGCGGAGTGCCCCCACGGACACACCTGTAGGTTTCAGGAAACCCATCGCCATTATTGCCAGGACTCTCAACCACTAACATGGAAATACTCACTGCGAGTCAAGGAACGCATGGCCATGCACATACGGGCACTATTGATTTGACGAAACATCCTCCGTGAGCTTGTTGTTTTATTGTTGCGCAGGACAGCTTCTATGGCAAAGCTGTCGCCCGCGAATAGAGTATGATTGGTGCTTTCAAACTCTCAACTTTTTGATACTGAAATGTATGTCGAGTTTTTAGATTTGGGTGTGAAATGATATGATTTTCTAACGCATCTGGATCGGCCTTCTAGAAAAATATATTTTTTATGCACTAAATAAATGTCATCTCGTCTCGAATATATTTGACTGGTGAAATTTCTATCCCGCCTAAAAATGGGATAAAATTAGAGACGAACATTTGAATGTTTGATTTTAGATGTGTTGAAATCGTAAAAACCCAAATTTTTTATAGTTTTGGGTGGGACTATTCGGAATATTCTCCAGGATATATATATCCCAATGTGTAAGCCCTACAATGGTTCTGCTTGTGGCTCAATTGACTTGTATTTGAATTTGAGCGCATAAAAATGGAACATTCTTTGCCTGTAGCACCAATCATCACTTTCGGTTGAGCGGCATATTCAAGCGGCTGTGTCCGCGTTGACCTCCATATCGGGAGAGCTGCCTAAAAGGAGAGCTGTGTCAGAGCTATCCCCCTGTTGTGGAGGAAATTTCCCCGATCCAGATCGCCATAAGGGACACACTCTTTTGTCTACTTCTTTATGAGCGCCACCCTGTGCTACTCCTTCCCTGAGTTTCGCCTCATTCCAATACTTGCCACGCCTCCGGCCAAATGTCACCGCCACCGGCAGCCATAATTCACTGTCTCATAAGCGATGTTGGCCACAGCCAGAACGCGTAAATCATTCCCTGGCTATCCAATACCCAACAAACACTCACCATTTCCCACTCCTTCACAGAGAGCTCTCTCTCTCTCTGTGGAAGTTACTTAAAAGCCATCTGAAAGCGCTTTGGTGGACATTCCGACTATAAGATACCCGCTACTCATATACATTTGAGTCAAAAGATTTCCAAGCAATGCCTAGAATCATTATACCCGCTGCCAGGGGTAGGCAAAACAACCAGAAATAATGCTACACACATATTCCAGACTGCCACAAATAAATCTAATAAGTACCGCATGATTTGCATAATTTTCCTATTTAATAGATGGCAAGCGGAAAGAGTGGTGGCGGGGCAGAGATGAGCGAGAAGGCAGAGGCTTAGCTGCTCAGGTAGCAATTGAAGCCAGAAAGCTCTGGCCCGGCTGCGACTGTGGCATAAAACACTCAAAGGATATGCTGACAATGAGGCTTAGCTCTCGCACACAAACAAAAATACACTCTCGCCTACACAATAAAGGTATTCCTGTAAGGGATTTGGCGCTGCTTTTAATTTATATTAAAATAATTATAAATATTAAGCTAAAAACGCAAAATGCTAGATTTCTTTAATATCAAAATCTCAAAACCCTGTATTTTATAAGCAGCATTTTCTCCAGTTGGTAGGCCACTCTGCGACACTCTCTTCCCGGAATACCATTAATGTCATAACATGGCAAAGAAGAGAGCTTAAGAGAGTGCCTTGCTACGGTGTGTGGCCTAAACGCGCGCTTAAATAAATTCAATTTAACGTGACTAATACCGTTTTATCGCATTGTTTAAAGCATGAAAGCACTGCAGCCTCCAGCATGCCACCTCAGCTCTGCCTCGCTACCTGCTGCTGTGGCGCCGCACAGTGGCTCCTTCGAGCGAAACAAGTCTCAAAAAAATGTATACTTTTCATATTTAAGACTGCCTCTAGAGAATCCATTTGGTTTTTGCCGAATTTTTCCCAAATAAACGCAATTTCTGTCGTTGCAAACAAAGTTTTATTAACATTTTGTAGGTGAAAACGGTTCTTTAACCTTTAGCCCCTGCAGCCGCCATCGCAGTTGCAACCTGCTATGTTGCATGGGCCGACACCGCAATACCAATTACCATGACCATGGACTTTCCATCCGTCTCCGCATCTTCCGTTGTGCGCACGGCAGCAGTTCGCTGCTGCACCTCCAAGAATAGATAAAACCAGTAGTACGAATACCCAATTCATTGTTTGGATGATGATTAAGCCTCGAGCGTAGTTTGTCAACTGATCGAGGTTCCCACTCCGTATGGAAACGTTCTCGTTGGGCCAGCGTGAAATGTAAATCTTGAATCGCTTAATTGCATAACCATAACGAATTCTATAAACAACTGCCATTTGAAAATCTGCGGCCTTGAAATAATCCGCTCTTGGTGGAGTTGTTCTCGGTTCAATTTTGAGTACCAATTTCATGCGTGGAATATTTTTGAGGGCCCTGTTTCAGCCCACTGTGCGTTGTTTTGTCTGTGTCCCTGCCTCATTCACTCTGCCTTGCCCCAACCTGCGCGGATGTTGCCTTTTGTGTGCCAACAATATTGTCAAACTTCATGTGTGTGCCGCTGTCTTTGTCTGTGCCTGGCCTGGGCTCCCCTAACCCCACGCAACCACCCATCCTTTGCAGAATGTTTAACAGTACCGATTTAAGGACTAACTCCAGCAGCCTCGTCAGCGCCGGCATTGCCAAATGCAATGAGGAAATAATAAATACAACATTTTGAGGAAATTGAATTGTACGAGTATGTGCTTATACTCGTACCCATCGCTGTCTCTGCTGGAGTGTGTATCTCATTGGAGTCCATTCGATTGGGTAATTGTACAGTCGACAAAAGTTTGAATAGGGTTTTCTTTCGCATACAAGGTGCACAAGTAGGCCCAGATTGTATGGCAAGCCCAACACAAAAATGATCACAAATCATTCACTCAATCAGATTGCTGTCAAATATAAACAACATAGAAAAAAGAGACGCCTAAAAAGAAGCAGAGAATAGGTGAGATATTAACGAGTCGACCTGCTGTTTGCTACTTATATTTTAGTTTTGCCCTAGGCAAGGTCCTTAACAATCGAATGGTCGTATACAAACAGAAGAAGATGTCCCTCAAGCCCGATGATAAATGCTCGATTTGCAAGGTTGTCAAGACTGATCCAGTGTCCGCCCACTGCGGCCACTCGTTCTGCTGGGTGTGCATCAACGAGTACTTGCTGGCCACTCGCTCCAACAAAAAGCGCTGCTGTCCAGTGTGTGCCGTCGACATGGAGGCTCATGTGGCCGGTTACGGAGAAAAACTGAAGGCGGATGATCGTATGCTTCGCAATTACACCATGGGGGATGACATCAATGGCGACTGTTTCATTTGCGTGCGTCCCAAGAAGGATCCGGTGGCCACACATTGCGGACACTCGTTTTGCTTGGAGTGCCTCAAGGATTACTTGTTCTTCAACAAACACACCAAGATACGTCGCTGCCCCAAGTGCCACGTCAGTATTGAATCTGATTTTGCCATTAAGAAATGATGGCTCATAGATAAATAAATGTGAATGCTGGGCCAAGTGCCATGGATTGCTCTTTTTCTAATGCTCAAATCAACGCTGACACTTTGGTCGCCTGTCGCCTGTCGCTGCTTCCTTTCAAGCCGTACTGGTGTTTGCTTTTGTGCTTTTAGGCCACTCTCTGTTTCCGTATCCGTAGCTATCGCTGTCGCCCGTTGTATTGCCTGAGGTCCCACTTCCACTTCCACTTCCACTCTCAGCTGTATTTGTATTGAAGTTAATAAAACAGCCTTTTATGGGCTGCTGCTGCGCTGCCTTTGTCCTGCCTCTGCCCTGCTCAATATGTTTTCAGGGCCATTTGAGCGTCTGAGCGTATGCAGCAATCAAATTAACTGTTATGTACATAAGCTTCAGAACAGCAGAGAGAGAGAGAGAGAGGACTGTTTGGGGAGCGAAGATCTTGATACCCTGTTGGCAGAATTCGATTTTATTGGAGTTCGGACGAGTTTTGTGTTGATAAACAATAGATCTGTCTTTTAATTGAGGAGAGCCATAGAATGGGAAGATGGTTGTTCTACAGGTCCCTTATCGAGGGTATAACAAAGCCAGACCCAATCGATGGAGTGGCTGAGTGTGTAATACGATTATCGAATGTACTTGCCTGCCACCAAAAAAAAAAAAAAATCAAAAATTCCACTCCCGCCCCGAAAACATCCTCTAAACGATAATGAAAATGATAAGCCAATCATTATGGCAAAATCTCTGTTGGCCCCTTCCCAAGCCACGTTCTTTCGATTTGCATTTCAACTAATTCACTGGCCCTGAGGGCAGTTCTCAACGGAAATCGCTGTATATGTAGAATATATAATTTGCTCCAATATTCTGTAGAGCCATTTGCATAACAGGTTTCCTTTTTCTTCGGCAAACTTAATTTGCCATTCGGCCCCGAAGGAAATTCCGAGAAAAAACTGAAACCACATTTGTCAATTTTATTTATGGTCACGTAGCCGGTTTATGTTTTTCTTTAGATTTTACCCTAATGGCTGCAGCAAACACTACGGCAACAAGCAACACGCAGCAGTGTCAGTGGCAGTGGCAGCATCTGCATCAGCAGGTGTTAAAGGCCACTTAAGTGCTGAAAAATGTGGGTGGAAGGATGCCTCCAGCTGGAGGGCGGACCCCCTGCTGCTGTCAGCTTGGTGTAATTACGTCGCCTTTGCAGCAGCCCGGGAGAAGAAAACTTTCAAGGTGTCCAAGCGAGTCGTATGCTAAGTCTACGGATTAATGCACAAACAAGTCTGCTCCTGCTGAAGGGGCAGAGTGTGGAGTGAGTGAGCTTACGTTTTGAAGGATAGTCTAGACTCTAGACTATCCTCGAGCATTGTTGCTGAAACACATATCATATTGTTTGAGTGGTTAATGCCGAAAACCAGGATTGCTGGAGTGCCTGTTAAGACATAGCCACGCTTATAGAGAGAGTGATCTCGGTCTTTCAACCTCCGTTACGTTGGTGGAATGTTGGAACTGCAAAGCCCTCGAAACGGAAAAATTGGGCGCAGTGTTTGGCGGCCACTTCCTTGTTTGAATTTTGGCAAAAAGAACAGTAGATCGCACAGCAGTTTCCCTGATTTTCCGTATTCGGCATCAACAGGATCCAAGTTAAAGTCACGCACTGGACAGCGGCGCTTGTTATATTATTATTTTTTGGTAAGTGTGACCGGGTGCTATTAAACGTATCGTTAATCCATGTCCATGTGGCCAGAGGCATTCATTATTGGTGACGCGACGTAGTTAACATGTAGCACACGTCAGATGTAAAATGATTTTTACATGTCGTATTTTGGGAAGAAGAAGAATGGCGAGTTGAAAGAAAGAGACGGAGACGGGCCGATTAGAAAGAGATGCAAGAGATGGAGATAGAGCTGCTCTGTTCCATTACGAAGACCTTGACCGCGACAAGGTCTGGGTCTGGGTCGTGCATTTGTAGCATGTTTATGTGTTGCACTTGGCCCAAAATTTGCCGCATTTCTTGGAAGATTCTGCATCGCAGCAACTGCATTTCTTCATCTTCCCATCGCAGCATTCAGAAAGCATTCGGATTGTAGAGAAAACCGTCTATCTGCGTTTCGAAAAGCCATTCCCTGAAAACCATTTCTCCTTAATCTCCTTGGTCAATAAAATCCCGTATACATTTATAATCAGCTCCACCGAGCCAACACTCGACACCGTCTTCGCCCGTTTGAATGTGTTACTTTACAGGCCTTGCATTGCATCAGTCCATGAGTGAATATACTTAGGTGAAATATTTGCTAAGACTGAAAAATATTCGTTTAAACTGTGCCAGTGACTACTATTAATTAATCAGCCGATAAAAGATCACTCTGGCTGTTTTTTACAATTTACTTGCATTTGGAGATTGGGCATACGAGCATACGGAGATTGAGCGCACGGCGCAGAGGTCGATGCCGATGAAGGTGAAGAGGTAAAAATAAAAGAAAAGAAAGCAAATCAAAGAACAATCCCTTCTTCGTGTGTTCGCAAAACGTGCGGTGTACAGTGAATCAATAAAGTTTAGTCACGGAGCATAAATTGTTATCCGACTACATATATTTATTCACTAATATCGCGTTTTCTGCCGCAGCTGCAGAGACGAAGTCGAGGAGGCGAAGAAGGCTACAAAACTTAGGCTCTGCCTTTGATGATGATTTCCTCTATGTAGGGAACTACGTTTTTCCTGATTGATTGTTCCACAAATATCTGATGCGCATTCCAATATATCATTGCCCGACAAACCGTTTTAAAATATTTGCCAGAAAATAGATTTCTGCATTCCTCAGGACAAGTTAAAAATTCCTTTCATAGTTTTCTACTGCCCAGCATACCCTCTATGCTGCTCCTGGCAGTGGCACAAATGGAATTCATATATTTTATTTTATTTTATTTTATTATTTTGCACTTTAAGCGTGTACAAAAATGTCCTTTGATATTTACGAGGACCAATGCAACAATCAACAGTATTTTGAGTATCAGACGACCCACTTCGGTGGACTGTGGCAGAGTGTGCACAGTTATGCCTTGTTAAAAATGCCCAAAGAGTGTGAGAGTGGGGCGGCTGGGGGAGTTTGTTTTCCTTTTTTTTTTTTTTTTTTTGGGTTCGTAGCCTCTGACAAGTTGAAATGCCTGGGCGTGGCCCAGCATCATCATCGTCGTCGCAGTGGCAGTCGTCGTTGTCATCATCGTGTTAACAAAAGAGCATACTCAAGTTACATACGAAATGCAATTCCACTTTTGCGCACTTTATGTCAACATTTTGTACGTAAATCTTTGTGTAAGACTATGCCAAACGCTCTGGCCCTGGGATCAGAGAGGTCGTCCCACCAGCCCAACAGCCCCCCACCCTCCAGCTATCCTTCTCTCATCCTCTGTGGGAAGGTGTATGCCGCCCACGAGATATCTTTCTCTCTCTCTGTGTGTGTGTAAAAGTGTCAAAAGTGCTTGAAATTTCAGCAGGCTTTTTGTACAGTCTCTGGCAGGGCGACAGAGGGAGACGGCTAGTGTGAGTGCGAGCGAGAGTGAAGTGTATCCAAACTGGACAATCGCAAGCCCTGGGCCCAGTCCTCCCCTCCACTCCACTCCACTCCACTCGTCCCTGGACTTCCATTTATGCTCTGGCAAAAGCTCAAATGCAGAAATCACGCTCATATGCTCAGTTGAACGCAAAGTCAAAAGTCTCTTTGAGTACGACACACTCGCACTCGCACTCACACACAGATATTTGAATACCGTTGGTATATTTGAATACACTCTCAGAGAATATCGTTACTCCAAGATGGTGGTTGCCACAAGGTGATTGCTAAAGGATCTGCGATCCAGTAAGGGTATCGTGTGTCAGATCCGAAAATTTCGGTTTTTCTTCTCGCTCACTCTCCAAGGGTATCTAAGGCCTCGGCCACTGAAGTTATTCCTTCTTTCTTGCCTTGTTGCTTGTTGCTCTGCCCTGCTTTTGTGCACTTTCTCTCTCACTTGTGTCTGCTTTGAGCTGGCGAGAAATTTGATATGCGTCCCCGTATTTGTGTTGTGCCTTTCTTTTGGCTGGTATCCAAAAAAGCAAGCCTTCTTGCTGGGTTTTTCCTGCTGCAAACTGTTTAGACGCTGCAAATAAACAAACATACAACTATCGGGCCCAGAACAGTGCCTCCGTCGTCACCTCTTTCTCGGTGTTTGTTTGTTTTTTGTAGTTTTCCATGAAATATTTGACGCTGGCAGCGTTTTTTTCCTTTGGCGAAAACCAGAGTCTGTTTGGTTGTGGGGACGGTGGGATCTCTGACAATGCGGAAATAGTCCTGGAAGTATTCACGGAAACCAAACCATCTGCGATTGTTGCTCGTTGTCAGCGGAAAGACTCTGTAGGAAGATGGTTGGTTTCGTGGGTGTGGGAATGCTAATTATCCAGACAGATGTTAGCCTTTTCGGGTGTGAGATTAGAACCTCCCAATGGGGCTCCCTCTTCTAATGGTATCTTCTCATAATCTATGAAATATATCAAAATAAAATCCACCTGGTAAACGTATAAATCCAGCTATTTAGCAACTGAAAATCTGTCAATTGGCAGCGCATTGCAGCAGGCACAGGCTGTGGTAATACTCCTGGGAACCCATGCTCCATGCTCTGTGCTCTTCCTCCACACAGGATGATGATGATGATGATGATACCTCTCAGGTATGCACATGCAGCCACCAGAAGGAGGAAGGAGTGCGGAAGAAAACTGTAAAGAGTGGGCAATATAACTGTTATTGACACGACATCATATTGAAAATATGAACACAAGTCTTCGCTCTTTTTTTTTACATTTTCCCTGCTCGTGTTTTTTTGCTGGGTGTGACAATGTGAGTGGGGGGCTCTGGCGCTGGCTCTGGCTCCGTTGGGGGTTCGGTTTCGGTAAATAAATACGACAGCACACACACTCTGACACACACGGAGGTAAACCGATATATCAAAAGTGCAACCATGGAGATGGTTGCATATTTTATGCTCCTGTCCGCGAGTGTCTGTGGCTGTGTGCTTGTGTGC